CCCCCCCCCCCCCCCCCCGGACAAGTGCCCTCGACGGCTTCGACGAGATCGTCCGCGCGCGTGGCTACGAGTATTACCCGTGAAGTATTCATTGACGCGTGTCGCGGTATAATTCTCTTGCGAGAAGAGAGAGCACGACCGTTCCGAGTGTTTCGATCGTCTCGTTGACAGATAGAAGAGAGAAGGGTACGCAAAGTATGTTCACTGACTTGTGCTGACTCGTATCCTTCTCGTACGAATCCTCGTTTAACGGAAAACGCTGTTTGAATATTTTAATAGTCAAATATCTGTTCCGTGTTGATTTATTTCACTTTTGACCGGTGAAAGGATTATATTGCAGACGATTCGTGTCGCGATATCGTCTTGTTTGCGCGAATCAACCCCTTGCGAAGGACACGAAGGTGCTCCAATATTCCCGATAGTAATCGAGTAATGTATCGATTGATCTGCAAGAGACATCGTAATCATCTTGGAAGATTAAGAGCAGCTGGAATTCCCATCTAAACGTGATTGCATGATGATTTGTAACATACCTATGCGCCATTGATACAGTGAGAACTGGTACGCATCTCGCAGAGAAACTCGCGAAGGAGGCAGTGGTGTTCGTGAAAGGCTCGTTAATTACCGGTGAAAAAAACAGCTTTGGATTATGACTATTGGGTACGTAAACTATTCTCGCAATTCTATTCGTCTTATACTTTCTGAACCACGATAATGTGGTTGAAGTCGCTCGATTCGATAGGCATAGCTGCGGGACAGCTGTTTCGTTAAACACGCGACGGGAGTAGTGCTGGCGTTTTCAAGTTATTCGACGTGTCCGCGTTCCCACGTCTCATACCGTTCTGTTAACGCGCGACACGGCTTTTACATCGTGCATTCGCTACGCTCGTCCGATAGTTCCGTACGTGACACGTGACATTTAACAGCGTTTAACTCATGCTGTGGCCTAATGTGACTTCAAAGTGACGTACCATATATATATATATATATATTCGCTCAGTCTCGCAGAAATTTCCAAATTTGAACCACTTGAATCACCGAGCGCGCGTGAACCGTTTCTAAGAATGTTCAGAATCAGATGAATAAAATAATATATCAATCCTGTTATCATTGTTCTAGTTTCAGTGCCAGTCTTAATTTTAGGAAATAAACTGCTATGTTATTTAATTAATTACCGTTAGACTCGTGTATATATTTAACCAAATGTGCGCCTTTTCATTCATGAAAATGCCGCGCGTCGCGTGCAAAAAAATCACGAGGGTCGCGTGGTACCGATGACGTGTTTCGCCTTCGTGGAAGATGATTTAACATAAGTAAAGGAGAAAACAACGGGGGCTCTTGATTAGCGGAAAATCGGAAATTGTTCGCGGAAATTCAAACTATTTCTTCAACGCGCGGTGTCGACAGCTCGATTTGTCTTTTCGCGGAAATCGTTTTCACTCGAATATAAAAAAACTTGCGTTCTTTCAATCGAATGAACATGCCGGCTTATCGATTGTTAGCATACGGTGTCCTTGAGCTCGCGAGGCATGTGGAATGAGAGCGTATCGCTCTCGACGTGTTACCTTATTTCGTCCTCATGTATCGTCGCGTATGTATGTGCAAAGAGTCAATTCTTATCGGGATACGTTACACACATTTCTTTGATCCTCTCGCGTAGTATCTATTAGTAGCAAATGCTGCGTAATTGTTCACAGAAATGTCTCGCCGTTGACCTTCTCTACTTGATATTGCCACGCGAGCGTTACCTGCTATAGTTATTACTCGAAGTCGTATCGATTGCGTCGTTGGATCGTTCGCCTCGTTATACGCTACATTAGACCTTATCACGCGCATTATCACTGACAATGTTAGAATTATGAATGCGGCGCATTCATGAATCGGGCACGCATACATCGTGACGGACGCGCGTCTGTAAGCCGTTTGTTTCGAAACTGACATAATTTACGTTTTGGTAATTTAACTGCCGCGCGCTCTCATAAATATTAATTAAAGATAAAAAAAAACTGAGTTTTACCTGACTTTCTATTTCTTTTTCATCTAATCTTTACAAAGAAGTACGGAATTAATTAAATCTTATTTAATTTTAATTAATGTTTAGGAGAACGACTTTAGATAAAATAAATATGTTTCATTCAATTTTACTGTTATATTTTGAAATTTAATTTACGGCGCTTTAACGATGCTCGTGTAACGAGGAATGAATAACTCGGAAACATGACGATCGCTTATTTCCAAGTTTAATTATTATAAGAGAGATTTTACTATGGTAATGGTTATTATTTTTAATTTTCTCTATGCTCGATAATGTTTAATCTCTCAATTTGCTGATTATTGTACACAAAAAATTTTAATCATAAACGATGATTGCTATACGATCGTAAAAAATGTTAGAGCTTATCATTGAAAAACATTATTTTGTTTCAATTACAGATAATTGCTCTAAAAATGTATATAATTTCAGACATTAGATTAAAAAAGTTTTGGTTATATAAAACATAAACTTCTTGCGTTCTTATATAGTCGTTTATTATTACGTCGAATATAATCGGAATTTCGTAGTAAACTTCTCTCGATTATATCTGCTATATAAACTATAATTATCATATATATCATCGAGCGGTTAAATTCGAGCGAGTTCTTCACTAATAAAAGTTCGATTTTCTTTTGATAGAAGCAACTGTTTCAATTCGATGTTATATATCTTGATAATTCGCGAGCCAGATAAGTTCATATTTCTTTTTTCATAAATAAAGAATTGATGGTTCTGCTAAACACATCTCTGTGCTTAACACAATTTCAATTATTTACGACCCTCAGAAATCATTAATGCTTCATTTTTCGCTAAAATAAAGCATCACATATTTTTCGTTAAAATGAAATTTTGTTCCAAATTGGTTATACAAATCTTGCTACGTATGTGGAACGAAAACATCATGGCAAATTCATGTAGCGTACACACGGAAACTTTCTCATAGCGAGCATTTTTCGACCGTAGCCGATGAACGTGTTACAACGAGCACTTAACGCTACAGTCATCACACGTACCGAAAGGGTTAAATCCGCGAGATGCAATTCGACGTGTTGAGTCTTCTGAAAAAGACCTTGCCGTTGCATTGTAGGTCGACCGACCTTGCGTCTCGATCGTCTCACGGCACGTTGCTTTATCGCGGCACGTGATACTCGTGCCAAAGTCGCGGTAGTCAGTTGCACTCGCCACCCGGTATTGTCTGCGCGTTACACGTTCACCCGGACCACCTTCTTTCGATGGTGAGAAACGACACGGTAAAGTGAAGGACCGAATTGTCGTTCGCGTTCGAAGTTTCTCGCGTTTGCGGTGCGAATCGGGAAGAGGTCCACATGTAGGGCGAGCTCGGGCCGAAAGAGCTCCGTCAAAGCTACTATAGGTGCCACTTTGTAGACGAAGCACGAACTCGAGAAGGAGAGTATTGGTACGGCGGTATTAGCGAAACGGCGGCAAAACAAGTGGCGTCATCCTCATCTCAGTGTGTCGACATTTTGCCCCGGTTTCACAAAATTCTTGCAAAAATTCGAATTTTACTCTGTACTTCGAATGAAAAATAATTCGTCGTTACTTATTATTAGCACATTTGGCGTCAAGCTAATTGCTCGACGCACAAAGAAACGCTTGTGCTAAAGACCAAGGTCTATCTTATTAACGTCACGCGTATTGCATTGCGATACATAATAATTTCACGTCAAAGACGTAATTACAATACATATACATTACGAGAAGAATACATAACCATAAATGAAAACAGAACAGAATGAATGAAAAGTTGATATATATTGCACACATATTTCCAACTAATTGTAGTAAAAAAAATAATTAGTTCTTCCGAGGCTAACAAGTCTTCGAAAATTATTATTATTTTTTTTTCTTCTTATGTTATGTATCATATAATTAATAAAGCGTTAAATGTGTAACTGTTTTTTTTCTAGCTATTTTGTTATCGATGTTAAAAGGCTGGATAGATCATATATTTATTTGTATTACTCGTATATTCATTTACACAGCTATATATTTACTGCTCTTGTAATTACAAAATCATTGAAAAAAGCTATTACAATAGGACATTTTATATTGCCTTGGTAAGGAAATATGGAGTATTTTTAATAAACTATGGTAAATTAGACAAATCAGTATTCACAAGTTAAAAGCGACATAAATTCTTTTTATATTGAATTATAATCGTTAATAAAATATTTCCGAATTAATTGTATTTGCTAATTTATGAATACCAATTAGTTTGATTTACCACTATTTTCTAAAATTTATATTATATATATTATAATATATTCTATACTTTTGTCCAAGAGAGAGATTATATATGTATATGTATTACAATGATAAATTGTATACGGGTATTAATCATGTTGAATTTAATGTAGTTGAAGGCTTGGCACATGCTAGACACGTGCTTATGAAAATAATATGCTTGACACGCCTCTGTTTTTAACGCTATACAGACATAAAACTGATACAATGACAGTGCTAAACGATAGCAAAACTGCGATGGGTAAGGAAAGACTGGGAGGGATAGATAAACGCAGATGCGCGTGCAAGTGGAAAACGGTGGGGCCGCATTTAAATTGTGATCATCTCGTACGAGAGGAAGGTAAACTTGCATTATTGCATGTACGACTATACCGAATAGTACGATATAACTGAATCAACACATCATGTTGCTGTAACTTGGCGCTAAAATTGAAGTCTCATTTTTATTAGAATTGCATAATCTTTTTTCCCTATTGTTTTTGTTGTCTTATAAATGAATATTTATCTTTACATATTTAATGAAAATAAAACGTTGAAAATATCATAATTTATTCGGAGATGTTTCAACATTCACGGCTAGTTTTTCCTTAAGATCAGGAAAACAAATATTGAAGTAGCTTTTTTTTTTCTTCTATCTCTTTTTTAAAATTATTTTTAATTACCCTCTTTAAAAAGTGGTGAATCAAATATCCGAATTTCTTTTTGAAGTACATTTATACCATAAGCCTTCAGTGTTTTTACATTTTTCCAAGAATATTTTATATAAATATTTAAAATGCAAATTTTATTTTTCAGTTTTTATAATGACAATAGTAATCGAATTGTAATTATTAATTTATTGAAATGTAAAATTTCAAAAGAGATTATACCGATGTAATTTTGTGAAAATTCCTTTGAAATATCTGCCTTTGAATATTATGACATATTTAATATATACGTGTGGACTAAGACATGGTGACGCTCATGATTACTTTCTATTGGCGTAGTCAACAAGGCCGTATCGTGTGAAGGAAATCCTGCTTAATTGCATTAATAACATCGTACCACGACTATGTTCGGAAATTGAAACTTCTTAGTTCGTGGTGAGCCAAGTGCCTCCTTCAGCGCCCTTCACACCACCGTCGGAGTTCCTCGTGGGAAGAAGCAGGCGGACGGTGGAGGCGTTAAAGGCGTTCTCTCTAGCACCTCTATAATTAGGCGCTCGAATTTACCGACCTCTCGCTTCTCCAAAAGAAAACCCAGAATAAGTTTACATAACGTAAAGTCGCGAAACTATCCCATCATCGCCATCGTCTTGTTAACGCACGCAAAGTTTAGACTATGGCCTGGTTACAGCGTCGTGAAAAGCGATCCGCATTCA